TTGTAGTCGACCCTGACCGCGGCGGCGGTGGGACGCCCGGCGTCCCCGGGGGCTTGGCCTGCGGCCCTCGCCCCTTTCCCCCTGCAGGCGCGGGCTTGGCGGGCGGTCCTCGCCCCTTGCCTCGCCCCCCACCGCCTGCCGGCAGCGCTGTCGGCCCGGGCAGGGCTGGCGGCGTCGGCGCTGGGACCTCCTGTCCCCCGCGCCCGAACGGCAGCCAGCCAAGTGCCCCTTGGACCGTGAGAGCGCCGCCCGTAACCAAGATCATCAGGTGCGCCCCCAGGAAGCCCACAGCCATGGCACCACAGGCGCGCTACCTAGTCCGCGGACTAGCACGGCTGTGGTTATGGCCGCCCCGCGGCCCCCTGGAACACCCGCGCATCGGCCAGAGCCGAACGCTACGGACCCAAAATGGCTACCTGAGCCCACACCCCCTCCCACTGAACCTGCAGTCTACAACCAATCAGACTATACAATCCTCCTCCTCTTCCTCCACATCGTCAGTATCATCAGCATCACCACCACCACCACAACCATCATCATCATCATCATCATCATCATCATCAGCATCATCAGCCTCCGCATCACCATCAGCAGCACCATCACCATTATCATCGGCATCACCATCACCATCCTACTCCTCAGCATCATCAGCAGCGTCATCATCACCATCATCACCATCATCATCAATATCATCACTATCTCATCATCATCATCATCATCATCATCATCATCACCATCACCATCACCATCACCATCATCATCATCATCATCATCATCATCAGCAGCACCATCACTATCAGTATCAGCATCAGCATCATCGTCATCAGCAACAGCATCAGCATCAGCATCAGTATTAGCATCATCAGCATCAGCATCATCATCGGCATCGTCAAGGCCATCGTCATCAACATCAACAGCACCAACATTGTCATAATCTCCCGGATCACCAGCATCTCCATCATCAGCATCATCATCGCCATGATCAGAGCCTTACCATCATCAACAGCATCAGCATCATCATCATCATCATCATCATGATCATCAGCATCACCATCATCACCATGACCGTCGACATCGTCATCACCACGATCAGCCTCGACATCATCCGCATCATCAGCATCGTCATGACCCCACCATCATCATCACCATCATCACCATCATCGTCACCATCCGCATCGCCATCATCATAATCACCATCACCACCATCATCATCAACATCATCATCATTAACATCATCACCAGCATCATCATCGTCAGCAGCAACATCATCATCATAATCATCATCATCATCATCCTCATCATCATCATCATCATCATCATCATCGTCACCAGCCCCACCATCATCATCATCGACTCCCTAACCATCATAAACATCGTCACCATCACCCCTCCCCCTCCTCCTCGACGCACTCCTCGTCCCGTCCAAGCCGTAACGATTCAGGCGGCGAGAGCAGCCGGGTCTTACGCGAAAAGACATAGCCTTACGCCGCGGCTTACGCGGGCCGCCAGCGTGGCACTCAGCGTGAAGGGCAGTTACGCGCGGCCTTGCGCGGGCAGCGTGCGCGCGAATGTCGGCGCAGTTCACCCTGTTCTCTTCCGTCCCTCATTTGGGCCTAAGTGCGGCGCGCGCGCGGCGCGCACGTGAGCTGGCGAACGGCCTGCCGATCGGGTTCTCGATTTCTCGGCTGCGCGGCGGCTGCCACCACGCCGAGCCTGCTCGTCGAGGCCGCGCTGCGTGTGCAGGAGCTGGCGAACCGCCTGCAGCCGCCCCCGAGGCCACGCACGGCAAGCCCTCGCCCTCTGCCCATCGGCCGCGTCGCCCGCTGTATGATGAGGCCGGCGCGGCGCAGCGCGCTGGATGGAGGTCGCGAGGGGGCGGCCAGAAACTTGGGCGCGCACGCGATGCTGGGGGAAGGCACCGCGGCTGTGTCCGGGGTGCTGCGGCAGCCTCGGCGAGCACAGTGCAGCGGGCGCGCAGTTCGCGCGTGCTGGGGGACTGATGGGGGCGCCGGTGGCGGAGGCCCCACCTGTGCGCTGCGGCGCCGCGCAGCCCCAACGGCGGCTGCTCCGGCCTTCGCGGCGGCGGCGGCAGCGGGGCCGCGCCGTGGCCTGCGGGGCCGTGGCGGCCTCGACGGGCGCCCAAGTCGTCGGCCGCTGCGAAGGAGGAGCTGGCTGCCGCGGCGCGGGCGCCCTCGCAAGCTGCCGCTGCTGCTACTGCTGTTGCTGCTGCTGCTGCTGCTGTTACTGTTGCTGCTTGGTGGAGAGTGAAATCCTTCCGAACGAGCGGGAAGTTTTCAGGCGGCCAACCTTTGGAGCTGGCAATGGCAAGTTGCGTCATCCCTGATCGCCTGGGCAAAACAGCTACGGGTCCTCATCATCATCGTCAGCCGAACTGAATATTATGACGAGGCTGCATGCCGTGCTTACTCTTATGGCCCAATGGCGACTGCGGCCTAGAATCAGGATCCTCCTGAGGGTTGCTGTGAGGGTCAACGCAGAGAGTGCGCAAGCAATGCAACTTACGACTAAACGATGAGCTGCACTACAGACGGCATGGTTCAGACTAAAAGATGAGAGTGAGGAAAGGAGGAGATTCATGGTGGTAGGTATCAACCAAAACTGACGAGACTGCTGCTGCTGCTGGCGCTGCAGCTGCACCCTCCCAATAGAGAAGAGCAGCAGCAACACGTATAGTCCACATATGTCCAAGAAAGAAAAAAACATTTTCACTCAGCTGCCCCCGCGCGGGGGTCACGGCCTCGAGAGGCACCTGCACCAGGTCGGAGGCGACAGCGCAGGGAACGCAGCACAGGAGGGCCAGCACAGAGGAGGCAGCCTGAACCATGGTGAGAAAGTATAGCAACATATCTACGCATCGTCGCCCATGAGGCGCTTGAAGAGCTGTTCGGCTTTCTCACGCTTGCTCGCACCTGTGGACTCGGAGAGGCCGTTGGCCTTTAGGATCCTGTTCTTGCCGGCTTGCTCGACATTCGCGGGGCCCCCGACGGCTTTGCCGAACACGTTCGCTGATGTGGGGTGCGAGCCAACATCCTCCGTCGTGGCAACGGCTGCAAGGATCCTTCTTCATCGCCTTCTTCTCGAGGTCCTTGGCGTTCTGGGGCGTGGTCTGCTCGGGGTGCTTGTGCTTCTTGCCGCTCTTCGCTGGAGTCCTGGAAGTGGCTGTGGGACTGTGGCTGCTTTGGCTGGCAATGAATGTCAACCATGGTCTGCTGCGTCTCGTGGAGCTGCTTCCTCATGGCGTCCATGTCGGGCTTCGATGAGTTATCTTTCGTCAGTGTATTGGATTCGTTGTTGGCCTTTCTCATCTTGGCGGCTGCTTTCACGATCATCTTGAAGTTGAGCTGAATTTTGAACTGCTGGAACTGCTTGCACTGCTGGATGCATGGCTGCCGGCTGTGGACGCGTCGCTGCCGCGGGCCTTGTTCTCGCGATTGGCGACCTTCAGGAACTTGATTTTCTCTTTGATTTCGCCGGGATTTCGCCGCCACCAAAGATCGAGGTCACTGCTTTCAAGGCTGTCTTCTTTACCTTCTTCATTAAATGTGTGTTCTCGGCTGCTGTTTGCTTGGCTGGTTCGCGACTCAAGAAAGCCTCGTTGACTGCTGTCAGAAATCCCACTGCACTCACCACGTATGCTGGGGGCCGGCTGTCCTGGCCCATTCCACAACCATTGTACCCTCCAGAAGCTGTGCTGAGTACCTGAGCCTCCTGCACCTCCTTTCCAGGGCCGGATCCACTTGCGCTCCAGGACCGGGATACGTAGCATAGAGTGCCATGGCTGATTGGCATTTCCTTATTCAGTGGCTCCATCATCCCGCGGCCAAAGTCTGTTAATGAAGCTGAAGCAACAATCGGAGCAGAACACGCATGAACAAAGGGGCGAGTCATCCGCGCACAGCATGCTTGGAGGAGCTGGCAGGGTCGGAGGCCTCCGAAACTGAGTCCGATCTCGCATGCCTTGGAGTGGAGTGCCGAACCTCCTCCTCCTCCTCCTCCTCCTCCATTCCTTTTCCTTATAAGTAACGTCTCTCCTCCTCCTCCTCCGCTTCCTCCTCCTCTTCCTCCTCCTCCTCCTCTTCCTCCTCCTCCTCTTCCTCCTCCCCCTCCTCCTAGAAGGGGATGGTGAGAAGGTTTCTCAGAAGCCTCCCTGCTTGTCAGACGGCGCGGGCATTATCTGTGTATGTGAGGCTCCTCGTTTTCAGGGCAGGCCGGACGTTTCGCCTGAGACTTCCTCACCATGCATGACTCTAAAGTTAGAAAAGTGGCAACAGTTTCACAGATGGAGGGCGAGTGGTTTTCAAAATGTGGCTCTCGCATTAGCGCGGCGCACAGTCGCATTCATTTCTTAAAATGCCAAAGCTTCACGGATTGAGGGCAGGTCGTTTTCGAAATGTGGCTCTCGCCTTAGCGCGGCGCGCATTCGTTTTTGAATGTGCAAGAGCTTCACGGATTGAGGGCGGGTCGTTTTCAAAATGTGGCTCTCGCATCAGCGCCGCGCACACTCGTTTGGACAATTTGCGAGCGCTTCACGGATTGAAGGCGGGTCGTTTTCAAAATGTGTCTCTCGCCTTAGCGCCGCGCACATTCGTTTTAAGCATTTGGGCTCCCACCATCAGCGTACCAGAAACGGTGTCTTGAAAGGATTCAGGATTACGCGGGTGCAACAAGTATGTTGCTCTTGTTGAAGTCCCAGGAATGGCGTTCTGGCACGATTCCCGAGAACAGATTTTAGCACGCTGCAGCGTGTTCAAACGGTTGTCTTCCAACGAGGCAGTTCCCTCAATGGAAATGAACCGCTGTAGGGGCCTATGAACAGGGAGCTTGGAGGGAGGGTGAATTCCAACATCGTTGATGCCTCTTGGGTTTACACTGGTCCTCCTCCTCCTCCTCCTCCTCCTCCTCCTCCTCCTCCTCCTCCTCCTCCTCCTCCTCCTCCTCCTCCTCCTCCCCCTCCCCCTCCCCCTTCCTCCTCCCCCTCTTCCTCCTGCTCCCCCCTCCTGCCCTGCACGGCGCCAGGCGGCGACTGGCCAGGCGGCGCCGCGCAGGCCTGAAGCGCGTATTCCTCGACCACGGCGCCGCGCTGTCCGCCCCCGGCGACGAGCACGCCGGCGCCGGCGAGGCGCGGCGGGTCCGGTGCGCATGGAGGGGGGGCGGGAGGACGGAGGGCGGAAGGGGTGCGGGGGAACCTCCTCCGCTCCTCTTCCTCCTCGTCCTCGCCCTCCTCCTCTTCTTCCTCCTCCTCCTCCTCCTCGTCCTCGTCCTCGTCCTCGTCCTCCTCGTCCTCCTCGTCCTCCTCCTCCTCCTCCTCCTCCTCCTCCTCCCTCCTGCTCCCCCCTCCTTCCCCTGCTCCGACTCCCTCCTCTGACTCCCTCCTCCTCTGCCCTCCTCCTACCCCCTCCTCCCCCTTCTCCTACCCCCCATCCCCCTCCTTGCGCCCAGGCGCGCGCGCCTCCGCGCGCCGCGAGCAAGGGAGGTCGCAGAGCTCGGCTCTGCCCTCAGGGCTCCTCCAGCAGGGACGGCCACATCTTCTCCTGGCGGGCGGGGGGCGGGGAAGGGGGGGAGATCCCTCCGCATCCCTTTCCTGAACGCCCCCGTCTCCGTCTTGCAATTCTTCGTTATATTATTTGCAGTCCTATTATTATTGTCATTATGCATCTTAGTGTTATTATGTTGTTGTTCTTCTTATGCTTATTTTTCGTCTCGTCCTCTCGCGGCCCGAAGACTACATGACCTCCTGAGCCCACAGCGATCATTACTCCAAGGACAGGTATGTTTGCGCGTCGCGCTTCGCGAAGTGCGAACACGCGCTCTCGCGCCGCCACCCCCAGGAAGAAGAGGACGAGGAGGGTGAGGATGAGGTGCCGCGAATCGCAAACCGCGAAAGACTTCGCGCCCTCGTGGCGGCCCTTGCTACTTCAGCGTCTTGACTGTAGATCGTCCGGCGCCAACCCATCTCAAGAAGCGGCCTGCCGTCAGGGAGCACCCACCCACGCGCGGGGGCAGCTGCTCGACGCGGGTGGCGCTCGGGGGCTGGTGCCCCTCGGGGCCCCCAAGTCTGGCCAGCATCGGCGCCCTCTTCAAAACACGCAGACCATCTCATCCCCAGTGTTGTGTATTCTGTCCAACAGCGAAACACATCCTCCGACAAGACCCGCAAAGCTCACGCATCAGCAGGCACTGCGAATCAAATCGCATCGCCATTAAGATGGCGAGACACAGCCGGAACAAGAATAAGGGAGGGCGAGGACGAGGAGGGAGGGGAGAGGGGAGCTATAAACAAAAACCTGCTGAGTGCGCATCCCCGATGCCTCTACCAGCCATTGATACCCGCAACCGTGCCCTTGAGGCACGAGTTGGAGTGTTCTGAGGCTCTTGGCCCAATCCCTGAAGCCTCAGTCCTCTATCCTGAGCAATCTTTAAGGGGCCCAGACCCAAAATAGCCAAATCTTCTGGACCGCGTCGCGCCTTCCCGCGTATATTTTGGAGAAACCAAGATGGCCCCAAGACGGGCCAAGAGCGCCCAGATAGGACCCCAAGACAGTCCAAGCGGACACCGAGTCGCCAACAGAACACCCTCAAGACTGCCCAAGATGCCCCCAAGACGCCCGAAGAGGCCTCCAAGGGGCCTCCCAGGACCCCAAGAGGCAAAAATCATCGATCCCCAAACAGTGCTTGCACTTAGGGGTTCTCGGTACTTTTCTAAGGAACTGGTCCTGTGTGGCGGTCTGGTGGCTATGTTGTCGCCGTCGCCGCCCCGTCGCCGCCTCGTCGCCGCCCGTCGTCTGGGCCTGTGTGTCGGTCTGGCGGCTATGTTGTCGCCGTCGCCGCCCTGTCGCCGCCCCGTACTCCAAATAAATTGCACCACGTAGAATGCAACACACAGAATGCACAGCATATATTGCACCACGAAGATTGCTACACATGGACTGCACCACATAGATTGCCCCACGAAGATTGCAAACACATATTGCTAGAAATACAATGTTCGGAGTCCACCCTGGCTAACACAAGATCCTTCGGTTTTTGACAGATGCTGGCGGTCTTGCCTAAGAGGCCCCCAAGATCACCCAAAGACGGCCCAAGAGGCCTCCAAGAGGGCCCCAACAGCCCAAGAAGGCTCCAAAACGGCCCAAGAGGCGCCCAAGACGGCCCAAGAGGCTCCCAAGATGGCTCCAAAAGGGGGGCCCGACGGGGGATCCGAACGGACATGTCGAGCCCTCGGTCCCGAGAGGCCCCCAGGATGCCCCCCCAAGAGACCGCCAAGAGGCCCCAAAAGACCCCCAAGAGGCTGACGGGAAGCCTCAAGATGTCCCCAAGAGGTTCCCACGAGGTCCTCAACAGGCTCCCACGAGGCCCCAAAACTGCCCCCAAGAGGCCCCCGAGAGCGCTCTGAAGAGACCCCAAGAAGCATCCCTGAAGACTCTTCGCCCACAACCCAGGCACGGTAGCGGGATGGGCCGAAGGCCATTAGATCATACACTCAGCAAGAGCCCGGCATAACGCCCGGACACGGGCAGGGACAGGGACGACGGAGGAGGCGGGGGTAGGAGGAGTGCTGGGGCCCCCAATTTTGTGGAAATCGACACAAAGGATTCGGCTAGCGCCCGCTTGTCTTTGGAGTATGACCGTCGGAGGGTAAAAACTCCTCCTCGACTTCTCCCACGGCAACGAGCTGGCCCCCTCGGGTCCTCCGCCTTCTCGAGGTGGATCTCGACCTTGCTGGTTCCCATCGTCCAGGTTGACCCGCTGGGGCTGCACTTGCTCGCGAGCTCCCCCTCGAACAGCACCTGAGCCCCTGCTTGCAGACCCAGAGCTCCAAGCTCTAGATAAACTAATGGGACACAGAAGGTCCTACTAGCACCATTGATGGGCTTGTTTTCCTCCACCACCACCACCATAAGTTGGATGGGGAGGGGGTCCTCCTCCTCCTCCTCCTCCACCTCCTCCTCCTCGTCTTTGTCCTCCTCCTCCTCCTCGTCCTCCTCCTCCTCCTTCCCCCATCCAACTTTTGGTGGTGGTGGAAAACAGGCCCATCAACCATGCGCCCTTCTCGGAGGCGCACGTCCGAGCCGAACACAACATGCAGGCGTCTTATATTAACTTTCGGTGCCCGGGCGGCACGGCCGCAAAGCGCCCGCCGCCGATCATGCACTGTAAGATCTCTGAGCGTGCGCGTCGCCCCTGGGGTCCAATGCTCACAGCATATAGGTACGCACAGGTATAGTCGCTGTTTCACTTCCATCCCCATTGATGGGGCGAGCGGCTCTCTCAGTCGCCCGGCCGGACTTGCTTGCTTGCGTCGCCCCTGGGGCCCGATGCCCACAGCATGTGAATACGTGCCACCTACAGTTGCGGCTAAGAATGAGGGGGCGGCGGGGAGGTCGGCAATCTGCGAGGCTCCGAAGAAGCCCGTCGCGGGCGCCTAATTCTTACAAATCATGCACAACGAGCCCACCGTAGACGCCGATTGCTCCGTCATAGCAGTGTGGCTGGGTCGCGGGTGGGTCGCGGGTGGGTCGCGGGCCTGGTCGCGGGCCTCTCGTCGCGAGCATGGTCGCGGGTGGGTCGCGGGCCGGGTCGCGGGCCGGGTCGCGGGTGGGACAGAGACAACAAGCAACAACAAATAATAAGCAACAAACAACAGACAACGCAACAACAACAACCCGCACCGCGGAACCTCACTTCATCCACGCGCCAATGGGGCAATGAATGACCGTTCGGCTCCCTCACTCTGATGATTGGGTGACGTCGAACAAGGTAAGTCGGAGATGCTTATACATCTTCTGCCTCTGGGCTGGCGAGCTGCTTTCTGGGCTCTGAAATCGTCAACAAAAGAACCCGGACAGAGACTGGGAAAGGGGCCGGGAACTCGACGGACCCGCGCATCCAGACGAGGGTAGAGCAGCGGAAAGGGAGGGAGGCGTGAAGAGAGGGATGGGGAGGAGGAGCGCCAGTACCCAAGGGATGATAATGATGATGATGATGATGATGATGATGATGATGATGATGATGATGGTGGTGGTGGTGATGATGATGATGATGATGATGATGATGATGATGATGATAATGATGATGATAATGATGCAGGTGGTGGTGGTGATGATGAGAAGGAGCAGCAGCAGCAGCAGCAGCATCCTCTGGTGCCCGATCCGCGGCCTACGCCATTGAAGCTACGAAGACCACAAGTGGTTCCCACCCACAGAAGAAAAAAAAACACCATATGAGACAGTACGAATCAACAGCCTCAACCAAACAACGGCAACAGTTGCAACAGCAACAGCGGCAACATCATCTGAATAACGATCGATATGTTAGGTCGCCCGTCGCCACAACGGTGCCTACACAACGTTGATGCTCGGCCTCTTTTGTCATCTCTGCTCCAACACATGAATACCCTTGATAGTATGTCCTGCCTTGAAGTCAGAAGGTTTTTCTCACACGCCCACCTGTTTTCAGAGAAGACAAATCGGAAGGGCTACGATCTCTTCTGCTAAGCCATCTGCCTTCTCAGACGGCCGCCACCTGGTCCCACCCCTTTTTGCGCGCCGCCGACTCTCACTAATCATGTTAGAGGCCTTCCTAAAGAAGGTCCGAGTAATTAGATGGGGTCGGAGGACCGCGCCGCATCGCCGATGCATCGGCGCCGCCGGCGTGGATGACATCGGGTTCCGCATCGAGCCGCATCTATGCATCGGCGATGCGGCGCGGTCCTCCGACACCATCTGCTCGGACTCCGCTCGGGAGGCCTGAACAAGTCGCCTCTCCCATTGAGGGCTCTGGTTCCTTGCCAGCTGCCGGGCCGAGCTCGGCCCCGCAAGGCCCCCAGCATGGGGCTGGGACGGGCCAGGACAGGCAAGGCCTCCAGATATCGGGGCTGGGACGGGCTCGGGCGGGCGGGCTGGGACGGGCTTGGCCGGGCGGGCCTCACGAGCTGCGAGCATGTCCGCACCCACGCCCTCGCGGTCTGGATTCTGAGGCGCGCGCCCGTGAAGACGCGGTCGCATGGAGACGTGCGGCGCGGGGCATCCGCTGAAAAGCGCCCTGGTCCACGGGTCGCGGTGTGTTCCGCCCGTCAGGGCCCCCAGATCGGTCCAGGCCGGGCAGCCCCCAGCTCCAAGCGAGACAGCGGCAACATTCTCCGTCCTGATTTGTGGGCCCCCCAGCGGCTTCGCGTCGCCACTGCCAGATCCGCCTCGAAACTCGGGTCAGGGCGGACCCCGGGGGGGGATCCAGGGCCCGACTTTGCGCGGCTCTGGGCCACACGGGAGAGAGCCCGCGCTGTCTCAACTTGCCCTCCTGGTTGACCCCAAGCGAGATGGGCTCGCCGAGCTGACGCACTCGCGTACGTCCCCAATATACTTACGCTTCGCGCGGGAACTCCCGCGTGTGCTGGGCGCGGCGCGTTCCCGGAGTGCTCCACTTTCAGCTTCTCCGTGAGGATGGTCACCTGCGGGTGTCGACTCGACAGTGGTCTCGTGAGCCCTGTGCCCCAGAGTGGGCTCCGCTTCGCGGGACTCGGGGCTGAGCCTCCCTTCGTTAGGGTGGCGGCCGGAACAAGCTCACGAGGTAAGAGCACCCAGCATGACGGCGCGCAGACTGCTGCAATGCCGAGTCTGACCGACAGCCCCTCTCCTCCACCTCTCACTCCCTCCCGCTCCCTTCCTCTCCGCCCCTCCTTCTCTTCCCCTCCATCCTTCCCCTTCTCTCCCTCCTTCCTGCCCCCGACTTCCCTCTCCCTCACTCCTTCCTTCGCCTCCTTCCCCCCTTCCTGACCCTCCTTCCCTTCCTCTCCCTGTCTCCTGCCTTCCTCTCTGCTTCCTCCCTCCACTCCTCTCACTCCTTCCCCCGCCCTCTCCCGCCAGCCTCTCCTCACTCTTTCTCGTCGCCAGGCATGCCTCGCTCTAGGATCGCAGAAAAACAGCCCTCATCCGTGGAGCGCACTCGCACCTGCCGTAGGGCTCTTGGGGTCTGTAGAGGTGTGTCCCCAGAGGACCATCAAAAAACTCAACCCTCGAGGGTCGAGGACCGATCTCGAATTTCAGAACCTTGAGGCAGTAGCCAGGATGCCACCAAACTGCGCAAGCAGAAGCTTCCGGAAGCCCGCTCGGACTTCCTGGGTCGGGGCGAACCCCCTCCCCCTCGTGGCGCGCGGAACGCGCCAGGGCTGGCACCCTGCCGGAGGCGCCGCCCGGGAGCTCCAGCACCGCCCCCGGGAATTCGCGCGGTCCCTAAGCAGTTTGCGTGTAGGTCGATGCACGTATGGTTTCCCAGGCTGGTGGGCGGCCAGCGCGATCCAAAATCGGTGGCTCGTGGTCTCTGGTCGTAGTCTCTGTCCGAGGCAACCCCAGGCGAATCCGACCTCTGCATGTCAGATTTCTGGAACGCCCGCTGGGGCTCAGCATTCGAAGGATGTCTGCAGCCAAGTGAAACCCAGCAGCCCGGCGGGGGTGTCTGGTACCCCAGCGTCGGCTTGACCAGCAGGGGTTTGGTCCAGCCCTCTGGGCGTAGGTGGTCTAGGGAGTTTCCTCTTCTAACCCCATTCTTCCCCTTCGGGGAGGGGTTTACCCCTCCCCCCATACCCCCTCCCCTGGACCTGGACCTGGACGGGGCGCCCCGCGAGGTGTCAGAGGGTACTCTTTCGCCCGAGATGGCTCCAAGAAAGCCTCAGAGAGCCCAAGATGACCTCCAAGATGGCACAAGATAGCCCAAGATGCCTCAGGTCGGCCCCCAAGATGCTCTAAGAGGCCCCAAGAACGCTCCAAGAACGCTCCAAGACGGCTCCAAAACGCCTCCGAGACCTCCAAGGAGGCCTCCAAGAAGCCAACATCCTTCCAAAATCTACGGAAAATCATTGTCTTTTGCTTTCTCGCCGTTTCGCTTCCGATGGCCATCCGATGCATCGAGATGGCTCCAAGATGGCCCAAGAGGGCCCCAGGAGTGACCAAAGAGAGCCCCAAGACGGCCCCAAGAGCGCCCAAGAGCGCTCCAAGAGCGCCCCAAGAGGCGACTTTTGGGGCTCCCAAGGGGGGGTGAATCAGGGAACCCCTCTTCTTTGATCGATCTTCTCCAAGATGGCCCCAAGAGCGCCCCTAAGGCTCCCAAGAGCGCCCCAAAATGCCCCCAAGAGGCGCCCAGACGGCCCCAAGAGGCGCCCAAGATACCTCCAAGAGGCTCCCAAGAGGCCCACAAGAGGCTTCAAAAGAATCCCCGAGGCACCAAAGACGCTGAAAGACGGCCTTGGGCTCGCCAAGATGCCCCCCCTCCTCCTCCTCCTCCTCCTCCTCCTCCTCCTCCTCCTCCTCCTCCTCCTCCTCCTCCTCCTCCTCCTCCTCCTCCTCCTCCTCCTCCTCCTCCTACTCCTCCACCTCCTTCTCCTCCAGCATTCTCCCCATCTTGAGGTATCGGACGGCTTCCCCCGCCCTTTGTTCTTCTGCATGCTCCACCACTTCCCTGAACAGCTCCACTCCCCTGGGCATCGTTTCTGGATGGGCTGGTGTGGATACGCGAAGCGTCAACGCCTACAGGATAGCAACGCACAGCGGACGGGCAGCCTCGCAATGCCCGACCCGCGGAAACGCCTCCTCCCCGCGGCTGGGAGCCCCTCGGCGAGCCTTCCTCCCCTTAGCGGGCGAAGGACGGTGTAACAGAAACTGTTCCGTCATTTGGGCTGCGCGTCTCAGGGCGGCTGGAGAATTCATACCCCGACGAACCACCGTAGGGGTATAAACGTTCCCGTCCCCGACGGCGACACAGCTGATGTTGTACCACTCTTCGCCCGTTGATCCTCTTCCTCCCGTGCTTCTCGCTTCGTGGTCCCTCCTCGCCCTCATCCATGGCCCCTTCCTCCGACGAGCCACCGCCCGCGGAGCCGCCCTCGGCTCCGCGCTCGCCAGCCTCCGCGGGCCTCCCGCCCGCCTCCGCCGCGGCCAAGATGCCAGCCTCCCCGACCTTGGACGCGTTTGGCCCATCCTCCTCATCCCCCTCCTCCTCCTCGCCATCATTATGATTATTATTATTGTCATTCGTACTATGAGTATTAGTATTACTATTACTATTCGTATTAGTACTCTTAGTATTAATAGTAGTGGTATTACCATTATGATTAGTATTATTGGTATTCGTAGTATTACTAATATTACGGTTGTTCTTCTTATTATTACCATTATTCTTCTTATTCTTCTTATTATTATTAGCCTTATTATTATCATCATTATATAGCACCCCGCAATTGCGGATAAGAGTGAGGGGGCGGGCGCGGGCGACGCGGGCGTCGTCAAGCCGGCGGACCTCGTGGCCCCCACCTTCCTTGTCGATGGCGCTCTCCTCCTCCTCCTCCTCCTCCTCCTCCTCCTCCTCCTCCTCCTCCTCCGCCTCCTCTCCTCCTCCTCCTCTTCCTCGTCCTCGTCCTCGTTCTCATCGTCATCGTCGTCCTCCTCCTCCACATCGTCCTCCTCCTCCTCCTCCCTCCGCTTCTTCCTCGTCCTCCCTCTCCCCCCCTCGTCCTTCCATCATCGTCCTCCCATTGTCGTCATGTTCCTCCTCGTCGTCCTCCTCCTCTTCCCCCCCTCCCGATCCTCCACCCTCCTCCTTTTCGTCGTCGTCGTCGTCGTCGACGTCATCGTCGTCGTCCCCTCCCTCCTCCTCCTCCTCCTCCTGCTGCTCCTCCTCCTCCTCCTCCTCCTGCTGCTCCTCCTCCTCCTCCTCCTCCTCCTCCTCCTCCTCCTCCTCCTCCTCCTCCCCCTCCTCGTCCTCCTGCAAAAGCAGCCCGCCGCAGGCGCCGAAAAAATTGGTTTGTACACTGAACGTGGTTTGGGTCGCGGGTGGGCCGCGGGTTCTCCACCGGGAACGAATGCAAAAGATGCTCGCCGCAGGCGCCGAAAAAATTGGTTTGTACCCTGAACGTGGTCGCGGGTGGGCCGCGGTCTCTCCACCTAGAACGATTCAAAAGATGCCCGCCGCAGGCGCCGAAAAATGTGGTTTGTACCCTGAACGTGGTTTGGGTCGCGGGTTGGTCGCGAGTTGATCGCGGGGTGGGTCGCGGGCTCTCCACCTGGAAGGAATGCAAAAAAAGCCCGCCGCAGGCGCCGAAAATGTTGGTTTGTACCTTGAACGTGGTTTGGGTCGAAGGTGGGTCGCGGGTGGGTCGCGGGGTGAGTCGCGGGTGGGTCGCGGGCGGGTCGCGGGTGGGTCGCGGGCGGGTCGCGGGGTGGGTCGCGGGGTGGGCCGCGGGCGGGTCGCGGGGTGGGTCGCGGGTGGGTCGCGGGTGGGTCGCGGGGTGGGCCGCGGGGTGGGTCGCGGGGTGGGTCGCGGGTGGGTCGCGGGTGGGTCGCAGGGTGGGTCGCGGGTCGCGGGTGGGTCGCGGGGTGGGTCGCGGGGTGGGTCGCGGGTGGGTCGTGGGTCGCGGGTGGGTCGCGGGGCGGGGGCGGGTGGGACGACGACGACAACAAACAACAACAACAACAAACAACAACAACAACAACAACAACACGAATCCGCACCGCGGAATCTCACTTCAGCCACGCACCCAGGGACAATGAATGACCGTTCGGCCCCCTCACTCTGATTATTATTATTATTATCCTTATCCTCCTCCTCCTCCTCCTCGTCCGCCCTCCTCCCTCCCCCTCAGTCTCCCCCCCCTCCTCCTCCTCCTCCTCCTCCTCCTCCTCCTCCTCCTCCTCCTCCTCCTCCTGCTCCTGCTCCCCACCAAGCCGCTCTCGCCGATACCTCCAAAATCCTCCAGGAGAGACCAGAAACGACGCCAGAGGTGTGCCCAAACACTGCCAAACGCAGTGGTGTGATCGGGTCCTCTGACGTATACTCCATCGTACACAAACGCACTGTCAGTGATGGCCTCAATCGGAGGGACAGCTACCTTCAGCAACTGCACCAGCGCAGTCAGCTCCGCACCCTCCACGTCCCTGACGGGCCCATCACACAACATTCACAGCGTCCAAGACCTCAAGAGGGTCAGACGCGATCGTGACAATCGCCCATCCCGCGACCAAACCCTCCGCCCAGCCCCCCTCGAAGACCGATCCGTCGCGGTAGGCACTCGGTGCCTGGCACGATCCAAGCCCGAGTGGCGGTGCCAGACGATGTGCTGATTAGCAGGCAGCCTCCACCCTTCAGGCCACTTAGCACGAGCCCAGAGACAGCTTTCAAGCAAAGTCTTGACCACTGAGTCGTCCGCCCTGTTCGTCAAATCACCAAACTCACCAGGCACAGGCGGACGCTGTGGCATCACAGAAAAAATGCCGATGCAGCAACGTATCAAGGTGCCCTCGGAACCGCACAACGAGCACGCAGCATCAGCAGAGAAGCCAACTCCGCACTTCCTCGCCATCGGCCACTGCCCATTGACGATGACCGATCGGAGGTGTCCTCTCTGCGTGTTGGTTCGCGGCGGTCGCTCTTTGCACCCGCTAGATCGGCACCTCCCTGTGTCCATCAGGGACGCTAGCGGCTCCCAAACAGCACCGCCAGCCAGGTGCCCCAAAGACTCGTCCAGAGAAACAGACGTCCACTGCCAGGCCTGGACGGCCCTGTTCAGAAGTTGCGCGACAAACCACGGGCAAGCCTCTCTCACATCAATCACGTGACCTTCATGCGTGGCCCATCGGAACAAGTTCCAAGATGGTCCAACCGATACGCTCAAGCGAAAGCCGCACAGTCCCGCAGGGCCCTTGAACCTGGGTCCGGTGTCTGATCCCAAGACAACCCGACAACGAGGCTTCAATAATCCTCAAAGGCACCCATGATTCCCACAGAGCCCTCACGAACGTCGCGACAAGCATCATCGTGGCCCGATACATCGGGCCGAGCTTGCCATGACACATCAGCGTGGGGCTCCGACTCTTGCCTGCAATTGTCGGCTCGATCGCCGCAAAAGCCAGTGCCCTCGTGCACACCTGTGCGCTTCGAAAGTTGATACGCAATGGCGTTCCTGACTACACGATTGTTCGACAACACGCGCGTCTTGTCACTGTGCATCTGGTAATCGCTGCAAATCCTGGGTAGCAAATCCTTGGTAGCGTGCACGTGCTCTCGACATACACGATCTCTACCACCTACGTACACGCTGCAACAACATGTCGTCCACTACAACCATCAGCATGGCGGTCCTGTGTGGGGGATACACCTTGTCCAGGGGACAGGTGATCGCTAACTTGAGCAAGGTGGTCGCCCAACTTGAGCAAGGTGGTGAAGGTGGTGCTCCTCCTCCTCCTCCTCCTCCTGCTCCACCTCCTCGCCTCCTCATCTCTTTCCTCCTTTCCACCCTCCTCATGCCCCTCCTCGCCTCCTCCTCCTCCTCCTCTTCCTCCTCCTCATCCTCTTCCTCATCCTCCTCTTCCTCCGTCTTTTCCCTGCTGGAGTGAGTGAGCGAGCGAGTGACACATCGAGAGAGAGAGAGAGAGAGAGAGATACCTCCTCCCTCCTCCACGTCCCCCCCCTTCTCCCACTCCTTCTTCCCCTCCTCTCCCTTCCACTGCCGCCCCTATCACGATCCTCCTTCTGCTTCCTGAGAGCTCGAAAGAGAGAGAGAGAGAGGGAGAGAGAGAGAGAGAGAAACAACACAAAGCCTTGACGTCCTCCTTCGTCGCACCCTCGGGGACCGCGATGGCAATCTCGATGTCCTGGTTGGTCTGCCCCCACGTGTAGGAGACGGCGCCGCACTTGCCCTCGTCCGAGGGCGCGAGTGCCAGGGGGAGGGAGAGCCCGGGGCGCGCAGGCGGAGCTGCGGCTGCGAGGTGTGGTCGCTCGCTCGCGGCTCTTGGAAACCACTGTCAATCATCGGACAACGCTGGCTCCAAGTATAGAAGCAGTCCAACGGACCAGGAAGACGCCATCAGACAACCGTAGGACTCCACTGGCCTCCACTGGGCTCGATTGAACTGCATTCGGTGCCGCTGTTCTGCACTGCGCTCAGGTGGGCTCCGTAGAATTCCATTGAACTCCATTCGGCACTCGAATGGAGTCGTATGATACGGCTACATCCGACTCCATTTGGCTGGATTGGGATCCATATGACCCCATTGGAACCCATTTGTCCCGTGGGTTCCGTTGGACTCCATTGGACGTCGTTGGTCTCCATCGCACTCCACATGGCTCCATTCGGATACCCGTGCGACTCCATTAACCCCCTTTGGACTACAAGTGCTCCCATTGGACAACATTGGATTCTTCCCACCCGTAATGCCAGTCGCGCTCGGTTATGGCCCGTGAAAACTTGGTACGCACAAGCTCGTACAAAGGCGAAGTCGAGGGGGCACCGTGACCTTGTCTACGAATCGAATTAGAACTCCTATCGGCCAAATCTGAAGAGAAACAAACTGTTGAAGAATTGACCACGCACGCAACACATCGAACCGTCAAACCACCTGCCTAGAAGTGGTTGGGCACACGTACGCGCACGAGCAACCACAGTCGAAAAAAAACGACGGAAAGGGGCGCAAGAGACACGACATATCAGGATGGCGACGACGGGGAGGAACGACGCATGGAGGAATAGGCGGGGGAAGAGCGGGAGGTCAGGTGTTGCTAAGACTGCCCCTGGCCCAAGGTGCCCCCTGCTTTTCGCACTACTTTGGAGCACCTGGGGCCCCCCTGGGCCTCATAAGGGGTGCCCTGGAGGCCGTCTGGGCCACCCCGAGAAACCTGGGGATCCCTTGGGTCAGGGGTACGGCTAGCGACACCCGAGGAGGGAAAGGCGGGCACGATCAGTCAACATCCAATCGGGCAACCTGGATCGAATCGGAACGCGCGCCGGATCGGGCCGCCAGCGGCACGGAGCCGGAAATCGAGTCGGGTCGGCCGCGCCAGGATGCACAGCAGCGCCGCACGGGCATCGGGCCGCATCGGATCGTCGGAACGTCGGGATGGGACCGAGTCGAGGGAGCCGAAGCCAGCATCGAAGCGGATCGGCCGGAGCAGAATCGCTCCTCGGGCGGACCACGGATGGGGGGCCAAAAGAGGGAGCGGGGAGAAGGACGCGTTTGGACGGGCTGTTCAGAGCGCGGCGTGCGGGGGGGAGGGGGGGGGAACTAACAAACAAATGGGAGAGGGAGTGGGCCAGAACACAAACGACACCACCCCACTGGCGGCACCAGGGGCCTTGGCGTGTACCAGGAGATCTGGCGTGGGCTTTTGCGTGGTATACGCTCCAGCGCCCGATGGGCCGTAGCGCAGCATGGAGGGCCGTAGGTGGGGGGTGGTGTCGTTTGGTTTTCGGTCGAGGGAGGAAGAGAGGAGCGAACAGGAGGAAGGAAGAAGAGGAAAAGAGGAAGCGAGGCGGAAGAGGAGAAGGAGAGGAGCGAACGCCCGCCGAGGAGCTACGACCCTTCCGTTCACGGGTGACCGAGCGGCCCCGCGCCGCCCACGAGGCACGCAGGCAGCCTCAGAACACGGTGCGCGGCGGCGGCAGCCGCGACGCTCTTGTTTGAAGCTGTTGGGAGGAGGCAGAGAGGAGGGGGAGGAGGAGGAGGAGGAGGAGGAGGAGGAGGAGGAGGAGGAGGAGGAGGAGGAGGAGGAGGAGGAGGAGGGGGAGGGGGACGAGGAGGAGGAGGGGGAGGAGGAGGAGGAGGAGGAGGAGGAGGAGGAGGAGGAGGAGGAGGAGGGAGGAGGAGGAGGAGGCGGAGGAGGGAGGAGGAGGAGGAGGGAGCAGAGGAGGAGGAGGAGGAGGAGGAGGAGGAGGAGGAGGAGGAGGAGGAGGAGGAGCAGGAGGAGGAGGAGCAGGAGGAGGAGGAGGAGCAGGAGGAGGGAGGAGGGAGGAGGGAGGAGGGAAGGAGGAAGCCCATCCCCCCCTGGCGTTGCCCCTGAAGGGGCGCCCTGGGCGGCCACACGCGCGCGAAGCTCCCGGCGAAGCCCGCCCGCCCCCCGCGGAGGCTTCGCAGCGGCCATCCCCGCACTCGGAGTCTCCGCGGGGGGCGGGCGGGCTATCCCGCAGGGCCATGACGAGCAGCGCGTCACCCACGAAGCACACAGCGAGGCCGATCTCCATAACCCGCGGCACCCACCGCGCAGTGAGACCTACGCCCACGCATGTGCAACAGGGGCCTCCAGCATAACTGGGGGTCTACGACGCTCCCTGAGAACATGTGCCTCAGCCTCAGCCTCCTCACCATCGGGAAAGAGCTCAAGACAAAGAACGTCATCATCACGAATACCTGGACTCCGCCGATCGGTGGCTCTGCCCCGGGAAGGGGAGGGGAGGTTCCCTCCTTAGGGGACCCATTCTGTTATTGATCTGCCGATCCCGAATATGTGGGGGACGGTCCCAGGGACCCCCCCCAGAACTGGGGGGAGAGAGCGCCCCCCACTCCTCCCCCCTCCGGCGTCCCCGGTTCCCCCCCCCCCGGCCTCCCCTGGCGTCCGCGACTCCCCGCCCACGGGGAAGGCGCCCCGCCCCCTCCCCAGGGCGGGTCCCCCGTCCACAGGGGGGGAGCGACCCCCTCCCTCTCAGAGGGCACCCTCTTCACTCTTATCCGCCTGCGGGGTGCTACGCATTCACGCTACGACCCGCCAAACGCCCAACCACCCACCAACGATCCAACATCAGGACTCCCCAGGATCACCCAGGATTCCCCAGGATCCTCCCCCAGGAATAGCTTCCAAAGCAATTCTCTTGGATTCATCTGGATACTCACGGTTCAAACAAAATCCTGCATGATTCCGAAGGATTTTCCGGCAGTCCCCAGGATTCCGAATATACTCACACACACATTTCCACGAGCATCAGGAGCGCTCTGGATCGGCGGCACTGGCCAGAGGCCACTACAATCATCGAGGCACGCCTAATCTGCAGCCCTCCGAAAAAACATGGCAGACTGCCCGATAAACAATGAGGAAGGCCAATTATAGTGCTCACACAAACTCAGCACACATTCATACACCACATCGGTCGGAGACACCTCAGGCCATACAATATCTCACCACCTGTTGAGGACGGGCAACTCCTGTTCAATCCTTCCAGCTCCTTCTGGGCCCCTCGAAGTGTGGCGAAACGATCCTCAGGAGCAATACAAAGAGCACGAGGTACAATGTCAACAAGATAGCCACACCCACGGGCGGCATCATCACGGGCACTGTCAGCGCGACCAGGAAAACCACCATGCCCAGGAAAGACTCTGAGCGCATGCAGAAGAACATCGACGCCCACACCAGCAGGGTGAAAGAAGACGGCGGAAACATCGACGTTCCACGCAAATCCGAGGAAGTGAGGCACGGCTGGTACGGCCGAGTGACCAACAGCAGCACGATGAAGCAGCTTCCCAGAGGAACCTCATCGACACCTCGCACCTGGTGGGTGCGCGGTCGCTTGGGCACCCTCTGCGAGTGCACCAGCAACACTGCCAGAGCCACGATCACCAGAAGCTTCACCAAGTCCGTCCGCATGCGTCGCCGAATTTGGTTTTCTGGTCATAGCTCGGGTTTCCGGCGGCCGTTCGGGACGATCCCAGCACCCCCAGAACGCCCTCGGCGAGGCGCAGCTGCCGGAACGCACCCCGAGGCTGGAAAGCCGCCGAGGACCGACAGAAACGGCCGAAAACCTGGAACCTCGAGCCGAAAACCTGGAACCTCGCTCGCCGCCAACATGGGGCGACTGGGCACACGCAGGAGTGGAGGTCGGGGGCGGCGATGCCGCTGTCGCCGAGCACCGTCACCAGGTCCTCCTTCATGACCAGGGTCCGCAGCATCTCCACCACTGCCGACACCATCCTCAGCAACGCCCTCTGGCAGCACACCGGCGACGCAGAAGCCCTCTCAACAATGGCCGTCCGAGTGCTTGCGTCCTCGACTGGCAGCCGAGTGCGGCGCCTTCACTGACAAAAAGACCAGTCCAGTGCAGATGCCACAAATAGGTGAGAGGCAGCGTGGGCGCGAACGCCAGGATACAAATGCACAGACATCTTTTGGACCAATGCCTCCTGATGAGGTGATCTTGCGAACACTGGTTTGCACCCAGTCAAAGGTAAGCAGTGTTTGGTCGGGCATGTCCTCCCACAGGGGGATTTTTCTGGACGATAAAACAAATATCCAACAATACCCCCAAACGGTAGAAAAAATGACAGCGAGAGGGAGCGGGCGCAGGTGCGCTGACCAAACCTCAGCTCAGCATGTGCATGAGCCACAATGCGTAGGAGGAGGAGGAGGAGGAGGAGGAGGAGGAGGAGGAGGAGGAGGAGGAGGAGAAGAGGGAGGAGAGGGAGGAGAAGGAGCAGCAGGAGGAGCAGGAGGAGGAGGAGGAAGAGGAGGAAGAGGAGCAGCAGGAGAAGCAGGAGAAGGAGGAGGAGGAGGACGAGAAGGAGGAGGAGGGATGAGGACAAGGATGGACGACGACAGATGACGGGGAGGACCGCAGGGGGCCCGTAAACAAGGGCCCTCGACTATCCCACCAGCCCAACTCAGTCATCGCTGCCGTCGACGCCGTCGTTGCCGACGCCTTCGTCTAACACCTCGGCGTCGTCGTCACCATCGCCGCCGCGGCCGCCGTCGCTGTCACATTGGGCTCGCCCTCGTCCACGCCATCGCCGCCGCCGCCGTCGGTGCCCGCGCCGCCGCCGCCCTCTCGCAGAGCGCCGCCGCCGCTGCCATCGCCTCCCTCTCGCGCCTAGTCGCCCCCGCCGCCGCCGCCTCCGCCGCCGCCGCCGCCGTGACAGCCGCCGTCGCCACCGCCGCCGTCGCCGCCAGTGTTCTCGTTTCCGCCGCGGCCGTGGCCGCCGCCGTGGCCGCCGCCGTGGCCGCCGCCGTCGCCATCGCCGCCCCAGACGCTCGAGAAGCGATCGTCCTCGCCCCAGGTGGCTCTCGGGGGGCGGGGCGCTGGCCTCGCCCTTGGTCGGCGCCGCCTTCGCCTTCGCCGCCGGGGCCGGCGCGGGCGCCTGGCGGGGGGGGAGAGGGGGCAGGGCGGCGGCGACCAGGACGGCGGCGACTGCGACAGCGGCGGCGGCCACGACGGCGGCAACGGCGACGACAGCTGTGGCAACGGCAACGACGGCGGCGGCGGCGACGGCCACGGCCGCAACGGCGGCGACGGCGACGACGGGGCGGCGACGACCACCAACACGACGACGGCGGCGGCCACGACGGCGGCGACGGCGACCACGACCACGACGGCGAGGACGCCGACGACGGAAGCGACGGCGACAACCATGAGAGCAGCGGCGACGGCGACGGCGACGACGGCGACGGCGTTGACGGCGGCGGCGGCGGTGCCCTGGGACAGGGCGGACAGGGCGAGGGCGTAGGCGTCGACGAAAACGACGGCGGCGGCGACGAGGACGAGGCCGAGGAGAAGGACGAGGGGGGGGAGCGGGGAGTCGAGGAGGAGGGTTGGAGGGGAAGGGGAGGGGGAGGCGAGGGAAGGGGAGGGGAGGGGGGAGGAGATGGGAACAAAGGGAAGGGGAGGAGAAGGAGAAGGTTGGGGGGGAGAGGGCCTGGGAGGGGAAGGAGGTGGATGAAGTCCGCCACCCCCGCTTGCCGAGGGTACGAAGGCGTGTGAGATGATATGTTGTCCCCCTCCTTCTCTCCCCCATCGGCACTCCTGTGCACTACGTGGCTCCAAGCTGGCCCGCTAGCTCTAGATGCCCTGAGATGGTCGCCAAGCTGGTCCAAATGGGCTCAAGATGGCCCCCGTCATGCTGCCAAGAGGCTCCCAGACGGCTCCAAGTGGCCTCGCAGCCTCCCGCCTCAACAATGCATCGGAGAGGCCAAGCTCGTTCAAAACCTATGGCTTTTCAATTATGTTATCACGTTTCCCTCTCCAGTAGGCTTCCAAGGCCTCAAGAGAGCTCCAAGATGGCCCAAGAGAGCCCCAAGAGAGGCCCAGACATGGTCCAAGACGGCCCTAAAGCCCCCCAAGAGCATTCCTGCCGCATGCCCACAGACCACCTCTTCTCACCTGTACAGCTTCCCCCACCTCATGTATCCCTTATGTTCCCTTTCCTGTTCTTCTTACTGGCCCTTTCCTTCGGTGGTCGGCGGAACGGCTTTCCCTCGGGGCCCCTGAATGAAGCGGCGTACGCTGCTGCACGCGCGTGGACAAGTTCATTCGTCACGACGTCGACCCGCGCCGCTGTCGTGTTCCAAACTGGATAGACAACAAAACAAGGGGCACAACAATAACAAATCGACCATACATTCGTCTGCTCGCTGATGTTGAGGTGACTACCGCAGCCTGGGAAGAGAACGCGCACCCAAACCTCCGACTTCGTGATGCCTTCAATACGAGGTCCCTGGAACTCTCGAACCCACCCCTAAGACTGCTGTTTGGTTCTGGGTCGTTCTCCCCCAATCGTCCTGTGCTGGCACTTCGTTTGGAATAGAGCACTGTCGTCGCCTCATCATCCTCTTCCTCGTCCTCATCCCTCCTTCTCTCTCCTCCTGTCTTCTACCTGCTTCCTACGTCGCCATCCATGGGGTGCTGCGATCTGCGAAACTGTTGCTATGCGAGAGGGTTGCCGACGGGTCCAGCATAATGGGTATCATTGGTATCGAGCGCAGATTCAGATTAGACCTCACTACACCTGCGGGCTGCGAACTGTGCAGCTCTCGCCATTTTCGAGGGCTGCTGGGGGGGCCAGCTTTGCGGATACCGAGCGCAGATTCAGATTGAATCTCACCATGCCTTGGGGCTGCGAACTGTGAAACTGCCCCCACGTTCGAGGGCTGCTGGCGATGTCGTTACTCCCAAAACCTCTCCCGGGGTACGTTCTGACTAGGATTTCGAGGCGAATCCAGCGGTGGCGACGAGGGCCTCCCAGGAGCCCCAGAAAGGGGAAAACCAGGCGAGGGTAGCGGTATGGGTACCTCTTCCTCCTCTGAGTAGGGGGGGCAAACGTCGAAGTTTTTCACCCGACTCCCCATCCGACTCCACGTTCGGGCGTTCACTAATGGGGGGGCGATAGACGGGCGGGTAAGAAAGTTGCACCTTTCGTGGACCTTTCGTGCCCCTTCGGGGCCCTTGAGGGCTCGTTTAGGGCCTTTTTAGAGCCCTTTTCGTGCAGCCCTCGACGCCCCCCCATTTTATCGCCCCCCCATTACAGAACGCCCGACGCAGAGCCGGCGCCGACCTGCCGGGAGAAGCTCCACGAGCGCACGCCGGCCGGACGCCCGTACGGGGGGGGGACCAGCGCGCCAGGTGCGCGCGCCGAGGGCCAGCGAGCCCGGCAGCAGCACCGGGGCCGAGCGCTTGCGGAGGCGTGCGGCCACGAGCGTCTTCGAGAACAGAAAATCCACCCCCAGAACGATCACCTCGACAAGCGAAGCCGTTCAGTAAACGCACCCACAAGAAGGAGTCGAACAGGGCAAGGCTTTCAATGAACGCCCAAGGCCGTTTGGGTAACGCCACATGTCCAGTCCGGGTGGTTTTTCCTCCCTTGACGTATGGCATTATGGCAGGATCGGGTCGTGCCGACCCTCGCGTCGGTTTCTGTAGCCACGTGGATCGTTGAATGCGGTACTTGTATGTGCTAACAGGCACGCAGCCTGTGGGCACGCAGCCACCGCCACCTAACCTTCTCCTCTCCTTGGGTGGTGCCGCCGCCGCGCTGCTGCTGCTGCCGCTGTGATGGGTTCGGATTCGGCTCTCGCCCCTCCGCCTCCTCCTCCTCGTCCTCGTCTGCCGCCGCCCCCTGCTACGGTGGGGGCTGTTCCTCGTCAAACTCCTCCGCTTCCTGCTGCTGCGGGGACTGCTCCTCGACCTCCTCTCCCGCCTCTTCATCCTCCTCCCTGGGCCCGGCCCGCTTCAGGGGCGGCTCCTCCCCCGCCTCTTCCTGCTCCTCGGGCTCGTCCTCCTGTTCCGGCCACGGGGGGCGCTGGTGCTGCTGCGCTGGGTGCTATGGGAACTGCTCCTCCTCCTCCTCCTCCTCCTCCTCCTCCTCCTTCCTCCTCCTCCTCCTCCTCTCCCTCCTCCTCCTCATCCTCCTCTTCTTCCTCATCCTCCTCCTCCACCTCCTCCTCCTCCCTGGGTTCGGGCCGCTTCGGGTGCGGCTCATCGGCCTCTTCATCCTCTTCCCGCTCCTTGGGCTCGTCCTCTTGGTCTGGCTGCTGGGGGATCCAGAGCTGCTGCGCTGGAATATTGATGCCGCTGATGTGGCTGCTGCTGCTGCTGGTGCTGACGCTGGTGTTGGCTCCTCCGCCGGCGCTCTGCACGCCGTGACACGCGGTCTTTTGTTGACTCGATCCTTCCAGCGCCGAACACGTTGGCATCGCAGCCAAGTGATGATGCCCTCGTCGTCACCGCCAATGTCCTTGCCGGCCTTTCTGTTCCCGGCCGCGGTTGCATTTGCTGCTGAGTTCCGCCTCGAGCTTGTCGAGCCGTGACGCGGACTGGTCGGGCGGCAGCGCTGCCTGTTCACAAGGCTTGCCCGTGATCTTCAGGCGCGCGCGCTGCAACCTCACGACAAATGCGCTACACTTCCGGCACCACACGTTGGCCATGCCGCCGGGCCGCGGGGCCAGCGCGTGGCCGTTTTCGTGGACGGCACCCGCACTCGCTCCGCTCTCCACGCTCCGCAGCTTCTCTCCCTGGTGGTATCGGGCAATGTGCCGCGACCAGATGGTGACCAATATGGCCTGAAGAGCGCGCACCTGCTGCCGAGTCAGCTCCGACTTCTGTGGGATTACGCCCGCGTGGCGCACGCAAATCGGCTGCTGGGCGACGTCGCGCAGGAGACTGCGAAGCGCCGGTGTTCACGCCGAGGCGTAGTCGCCGCACTCCCGCGAGACATGGAGCACCGTCTCGTCGGCTCCTTAGAAGAACTGGCGGTCGCTGCCGTCCTTCCGGCGTCTCGCATTCCGCTTTACTGTCATAAGTCCACCAGCGAGGACCAAGCGGAGCACGCCCAGCTGCTTGAGGGCTGTCTCGGTCGCAGGGGGGATCTGGTCGGCTTCCTCCTCCTCCTCCTCCTCCTCCTCCTACTTCTCCTCCTCCTCCTCGGGGTCCCTGTCCTCGATCCCGTCGGCCATCCTCTGCAGCTCGTTGTGATAGGCCATGGTTCGCTCTCGGTCGAGCGGGTGCGCCCCAGCATGCTGGCGGGGGCGGTCGCGCACCAGGCGGCGGCTCAGCTCGAACCGCCAGGCGTCGCGCATCTCACGCTCATACCTGCCGTCCACAGCGGCCCCGGCAGTGAAGCTCTGGACCGCGCCGCCGCGCACCTAAATGCGGGCCAATCCTCGCAGCCGCGTGACCGGCCCCGGCTTGGCGTAGAGGATCTCTGCGGACATATGCCACTATCTGCTCCTTGATGCGCGGCCGCCGCATCGCTCTCTGAATTGTTTCTAGGGCTGCGTACTGAAAGACGAACTCGGGATCCAGTTGGGCAGGTCCCAGAAATTCAAAAGTGATGAGAGGCGAACAGCTGTAGTTGTCCATCTCCCACAAGCACTTCATCGCACTCGTGCGCAGTTTCCGCAGCTCCTCGTCCAGAGTGCCAGACTGGTGTGCCCCCTGCCCGAAAATAACTAGCCTGCGCCTGCGTGGTCAGCATCATGTGCGCCCTGCGACGCCACGACAACGGCGCGCGTCGTACTTTGGCAATCGTTCCACTCCAGGTGAGCGCCCTGGTCTTCTCCAACTGGGTCGCCGCGGCCCTCTCCGAACACAGCGAGCCGCCCGCGAGACGGAACTCGGCCACGCGCTGGATGTCCTTGCCCAATGAGCACCCGACACGCATGGGCCCCCCAACGTGCAGCATTTCTTCTGGTTGGGCTCACCGCCGTCTAGCTTCTCGTAGGCCTGGATGATCTGGTGTACCTGTCGCACGCGGTAAGTGACCTCGCCTGCAGTCTTGCCGGACGACTCGCCGCTGATGTCATCTGCGCAGGCGCAGACCTTGGCCGTCGGGGCATGCGCCTCCGGCATCTCCAGGAAACAATTTTA